TATTATAAACACTTAGTAATGCTAATATATAAGATAACACTTATTTAGTATTTATAATCAACATCATGATTTTCATTTAAATATTTTTTTTATTGTTTTTTAATACAATCCAACAAAAAATTAATGAAGAACAATAAATGTACTTAGATAATGCTTAACGATTATCCTAAGGATACTCATTAGCTTTTGCCTTAAAATAAATGTACATAAATTTTTTTCTTATGCTTACTTTATCATTATAAAAGAAGGCAAAAGCAAACGAATGTCGTTAGGATACTCGTTAAACATTATCTAAATATATTTATTATACTACATTTATTATTAAATTGTGTTAAAAAAAATAATAAAATCAAACATTTAAATAAAAATCAATTATATTCATTAAATAATTGTTACTTTATATAGTAATATTTTTAAGTGTTCATAATAAATTATATAACAATAAGTAAAAATAGAGATTGATTTGAAGCATTAAATTACTGTTAACAATTGCCTCCTTTGTAAGAGACGACTAGCATTTTCTGAAATTTCCTCAGCTTTTGCTTTTTCCTTTCCTGTGAAATTGAAAAACAAAATGAATAAGTATGAAATTAAACAGAGAGAAGCCATGAATCACTGTTTTAAGGGGGAAAAAAAACATAGCAAGTGTAAAATGGAAAAGTACCATTTGATCCTTTGATGAACTTTCCTTAGAAGAGGTTGATCTGGTTGTGATAGGCTCCTCTTATTTTCTTGTAATTCTACTTCAGTACAGTATTCTAAGAGTAAATTATAAATTAATCCCTCTCATTTTGAGAAGCAAATTAACTAGTTCCTCTCGTTTAAAATATTAATCATTTAATCTCTATATTTTTAAATCTACTTATAACGTAATCCTTTTTGCTCTTTTTCAATTCATTTTAGATTATTTTTTTTTAGAAATAGAAAAAGGAAAAGTATGAAAAGATTTATAAAAAAAGAAGATATTTTGTAAAAATAAAAATTATATTAAATTAAATACTATTAATACTAATAAAAAATTAAATAATAATTTTTAAAACAAGACAAACTAGCTAATTTGTTTCTTAAACTACAGAGACTAATTTAAAATTTACTTGACAGGGTAGGCACATGTACATCCCATCTTCTTCCTTGGAACAATCCTCGAAACTCTATGCTTTTTTTTTTTTTCTCTCTTTGGTGGGTTTCTTCTTCCTCTTGGCTACAAATATTTTACCATGTCAATGAACTAATTATAAACAGTACAAATTAAAAAGGCTTCCATGAAAAAAAAAAGGCATAAGAAAAAAACGAGATTAAGTGAAAGCTAGACAAAAAGATAGGGCTAATGGTTGAATATGCATAATTCTTCAATTTCTCTTTATAATTTTCAGACTAAACTACCAGAAATAGTCACATGATTTATACATAAAAGCTTTCAATTGACTAACTTTGAAGAGTATTTTCGAGAAAAAAATTAACTACGTACAAATCACATGAACAATCCCAATAATTTGACCTGAAAATCATTTTAAAATAATATATTTAAAATTTAATATATATTTAAAAATAAAATTGACTCAGTTAAGAATATAATAATAGATTAAAGAATTATAGATTGAATTATTAATAAAAAAATATTTGGAAAAAAAAAAACCTGATCTAACCTGAAGCTTTAGTTTCGACATGTCATTGATTTGACGAAAGAGACTGTGTTTCAGCTCATAAATATCATCATCTGCATCTACTTCTTCATCCTTATTCTTCTTTAGCAGAAGAAAGACTCTACCATAAGTAGCCAGCTTACTCATTTCTTAAATTATGGTGTGCTTCTTTTTGATGAATTAGGTTCCATTATATTGGCTAATTAAGACGTTAGGTTCACCTAATCATTAAAAAAAATTTGATTTGTTTTTCCTTATTGGGATTCTAATTAAAATCCTAAAAAGCTTTTTTTAAGATTCTGTTTTTGTTGAAGTTTAGCATTGTTCAATGTTTTTGTTAAAATATGTCATCTTAATTAATTATGGGATCAAATTTATAATAAATAAATAAAAATATCTTTTATAGATAAAAGAGGAAATCGATTATATTTCTTAATATGGCTAAATAATATGATATGTCCTTCCATATTTGGTTGATACATAATCTTAAATGATTATATTTTGAAACGTTAATCTATTATGGGCGAATTTTTCCTCCTTTTTTTTTCTTTGGTAAAATTAGAAATAATTAAAAATTTTGATAGAGTAAATTATACATTTGTCCCTCTAGTTTTGTAAAAACAAATAAATAGTCCTTATAATTCTAAAAACTAATTAATTGATTTTTTATCAGCATTGATCGTACTTAAGTTAATCATATTTTATTTCAAAAACATGTCCCCTTTTTCATTAAACTTTCCATATTATTTATTTCTCTTACCTTTTCTATTTTTTTTTAAAAAAGAAATACATGAAAAGGCAAAAAGAACTAATTAATTAGTTTTTGTTTTAATTAGAGAGACTAGCTATTTAATTAGATTTGTAGGTAAATATAGAGGAATTAATTTAAAATTTACTCAAATCAGACACATGTCACTATTTTCTCTTTACGGTCACAATTAATAGAAATTTTAATCGACTTTAGATGGAGTAATAAAAGTTTTCATGATAGTGTTTGGTTCTTATTTTAAGACGAAATTGTAGGTTATCTAAATAGAAATCACGAGATTATATTCATAAAAAAATCAAAACCTCAAGGACCTTTACTATAATTAAACCCTTCATCTCCCATCTCCATCCTCCTCCCTCCCTCTCCATTCCTTGATACAAAAAAAAAAAAAAAAGCTATATACCAATTAATAAACAAATAGATAAATAAAGATACAAATGGCAGTAGCCGGGGTCAAGCCCCTGGATGTGGCTGCTAATTAAGCTGAGAACATCCATCATATTTGGGCTTTGAGTCCAAATTTCTTTAAGATGGACTTGGCTCTTTTTATGGGCTTTTAATTTGTCTCGTTGGGTTTGGACCTTGAACTTGGTTACTTCGGTCTCATAAAAATAGTAAATTATAAATTAATTCTTCTATTTAAAAAAAAAGATTAATTAGTTTTTTTATTTCAAAAATAACTATTTAATACTTTAATTAGGATTGAATATAATTAATTTAAATTAACTTATACAAAAAAATATCTTTTTCATCGATCTTTTCATTATATCAATTTATTAAAAAAATTTTAAAAAATAACATAAAATAGATTTAAAAAAATTAACTAATTTTTTTTTAAAAAAAATAAGAAGATTTAATTTATTCATTTCTCGAAACTAAAAGAAATAACTTATAATTTACTCTATAGAATTTAAAAAAATATATATAAAATAAGATTTTATACATTGAAATCGAGACATTTGATACAAACACAAAAATGTTTTTGCCAAGAGGCATCATGCCCTCCTCCGCTTCAACTTTTTCTTTAAGTGTTTTTAGTTTAAAATATTAAGTAATTCAATTATATGAATAATCACTAAAACAATTCTCACGAATCAGACTATATATATATATATATCACATTTAAAGCAAGCCATTCACTTTCAAAAGTCTAATTTAATATATTTATGAGAAAATCTTCCCTTCAATTTGTTTTTATTAGAAATAATACCAAGTGTCCAAGCAAATTAGTATAATTACAGTAAAAAAAAAAATAGATGAGTAAATGATTAATTAGTCCTTTTAGTTTTAAAAGATTAATAAATTAGTCTCTCTTATTTTAAAATATAATTATTTAAAACATAATTATTTAGTTTTTATATTTTAAAATTTTCTTGTAACTTATTTCTTTTCTTTTCTTTTTTCAATTTAGTTTAATTTTTTGTTTTAAAAAATAAAAGAAAGAAAATAAATGAATGAACGAAAAAAAAGATCTTCTTGGAAATAAAATAATATTAAATTAAACTTGGTAAACACTTATCAATGACTATATAATTTACTCTTTATAATTTTACATACAGTAATGAATCTTAGTAGTCATCATCATCAACGGACCGAATCTTATTTAACCAAAATTAAATCTACCTGTACTACACGAAATTCATATTCATTACATTTGGACTATTTTACCCCTGCGTGCGTGTCTTAATAAACCCTCCCTCCCTCCCTCTGAAAAGCCCCACTCTTCACTCCAAAAACCACATAAACCCTAATTTTTATAGATTCCATCTCTATGTACCGAAAATCAAATCCTAGAAAAGGAGGTACAAGTTGAAAGAGGACTCCTGTTAAGAGCCAAACTTTCCAGGTTTGCATAGTTTCTTTTTGTCTTTTTTTCGGTTTTATCTGGTAATATTTTTGGCAAAAGTTTCATTCTTGAATCCCTGTGTTTGTGCATTGTTTAGCTTATTGCATTTTTTAGATTAATTTTGGGGTTTTATGTTCGTATTTCTTGTTTACGAGATGGGTTTTTGTTGTTTTATGTAATGGGTGAGTAGGAATTGAAACCCAGATTTGGTTTTTGCTGAAATTTTTTTTTTTGTTTTTTTTTCTGTTTTGATAGGTGGGTTCTTCGTTGTTTGGATAATGGGTGGATTGGAATGATACCCTAGTGAGGTTTTATTTTTTGGTTTTTGAATTTTGGAATCTAGGATTAGAAAAAAATAAAATGAGAAACCATTTTTTTTTAATGTGCAAGTGATTATCTGTTTGAAGAGAGAAAAAGCTCCGTGTTTGTGAAGAAAAATGAAATAATAGCTGTTACTCTTGTGTTGAATTATTAAGTAATTTGCCGGTTTTTTTTTTTTTTCATTTAGTAAAGAACATTAAGTCTGTTGTTTCAGTTATTTAATCTGTGTGGAATTGAAAGAAGGTTTCTCTTGCTACGCTGTTCTTGTTGCAATGTGAGTGTATTTGGAGGTGATTTTTAAAGCTCTTACTTTAAATAAGGATTTGTGTTAAGACCAGAATTATTAATTTTTTAAACCTAATGCAGGCAATATTTGGATATATAAAGACACTTTTGCTGAAGAAACCATAGATTTGCCAATATGTCGATGTCAAAGAGCTCGAAGATGCTCCAATATATTAACTATCGGATGCGTGTGACCATCCAAGATGGCCGGCAGCTGGTAGGGAAATTCATGGCCTTTGATCGCCACATGAACCTTGTACTTGGTGATTGTGAGGAGTTCCGCAAGCTCCCACCAGCAAAGGGCAAGAAGAATAACGAGGAGCGTGAGGACCGCCGTACTCTTGGCCTTGTTCTTCTTCGTGGTGAAGAGGTCATCTCCATGACTGTTGAGGGTCCTCCTCCTCCTGAAGAGTCTCGTGCCAAGGCTGTCTCTGCTGCAGCTGTTGCTGGTCCTGGTCTTGGCCGTGCTGCTGGCCGTGGAATTCCTACTGCTCCTCTTGTTCAGGCCCAGCCTGGCCTTTCGGGTCCTGTCCGTGGTGTTGGTGGACCTTCCCCTGGCATGATGCAGCCACAACTCATGCGTCCGCCAGTCCCACAACTTTCTGCTCCACCCATGACTTACCCTGCTTCAAGTGCTCCGCCACCGGGTGGTGCTCCTGTGGTCCGGCCACCTGGCCAAATGCCTCCTGGGCCATATCCTGGTCAGGGTCCACCAATGGGTCGAGGTCCACCTCCACCAGGTCCACCTCAATTTGCTGGCAGGCCCCCGCAGGGGTTCCCAATGCCACCACAGTTTGCCCAGAGACCTATGGGAGTGCCACCCCAGGGACAGGCACCAATGATGAGAGGACCACCTGCTCCACCAAGACCTGGAATGCCAGCACCACCTCCACCCCGTCCTGGGATGCCACCTCCACCTGGTGGTCATGTTCCTGTTTATGGACCACCTCGTCCGGGTATGCCACCTCCTCCCAATGCCCAACAACAGCAGAATCAGCAACAATAGTGATTAGGTATGCCTTCTTTTGATATCTGGATTAATGGATTTTGAAGGTTTACATACTTTTGAATCTCTTAGACTTGGAGATTATATGAAGTTGATGGGTTTGTGTTTGTTTCATTACATTGATGGAATAGATTTACTTACAGCAACATGTAATTTATATTTCTTCCATTGAGTAATACTTTCAGCAGCTGTTGCTTTCTATATTCAGATTGTTTAGTATTGACATCTGTTTAGACTTTACTAATTGGGTAACTGGATTTGAGTTTATAGTTTCGCTGAGAACATGAACTTAGTCATATGTAGATTGATCATTTGGTATGTGCGTAATTAGAAATGTAAATTTAGGTGTAGCGAGTGGTAAATATTTCATTGTATCTCTGAGGAAGCTAGCTAGTTATAACTGGTTTGTAGTAACAACCCTCTATTGCTTTGGCATGCTACCGGAGTTTAGGTCTTGGGTTAAGATCTCAGCTTGGGAGGAATTCTAACGTTGAGCTTATTGCTTTTATAGGAAATGGAGTTCCAAAATTTTTTGAACAGTTCACTTTTTTTTGTATTTTTTGGTTTATGAATGAGCTAACTGTTGTTCTATCTTTTGAAGATGGAGATTGTGATGAATCACTCTAAATTTTCAACCCAAAATGTGTTCTGTGAAATTTTTTGTTTTAAAATGTCTCATTATCAGGCTTTGTTATTCCAAGTGTCTGCAGATTTGGCTAATTGATGTTTGATCTGGATAGTTATGTCTAGCATATGTTCTCTAACCAAGTAGAATGTATTTCATTTACCAAGGCCTTTATTTGCTAGCTATGCCACAGAACTATGAGTACGTAGATTATATATCTGTTTATTTTTTAATGAAAGAGAGACCAAATGTACAGATCTATTAGATTCTTTATTTATGTTTGGATAGTTAGAGATGGTGGGATACAAAGTGATTACTAGCATCATTGTACCTTTGGAATGTGGATTGCAATGATATGTAATGTTTAACCCGTCATTATTGGCGTATGCTGCATTGTGTACTGGTGCCATTTAGTCACAGTTCCATTTATAGCTGCCACTGAACTATAAAGCCAAAGACAGAATGATACGTGATACCAAACCATTTATGGACCACGTGTTTGGTTAGGGTAGTATTTCTTCAGCAGAATATTTGAAGGAAATGCTAAATGTCTAGTTATCTGCACAACCAGTGCTGTGGCTGGCATGTTATGGGGTATGCAAATACATTGCGAAGCGATAGTTTCATAGTGCAGTCGGTGAAATTGGTTTAGACTTATTTTCCACAATATCCGAACAAAAAGAGAATCAAATCTTGAACACAGGAATGGGGAGTCTTTGAAGCAACTTACTCTGGTGGTAAATGCCCTGATATGGCTATTCTTTATAAATGATTGCCTCAGTTTGAGGGATCTTAGCAATCTTAGCATGTTGGTGCTGGTGGTATCAAGTAACAAGAAATCAAAAGAATCTAGCCTCAAATAGTGGTGGGCAGTGTCAATACTTTTTTAGGCAAGAACAAGAAAAATAATTATGAAGTTTTACTACAATAAAATCCAATAACAAAGATGCCTGAAGTTTAGATGGTAAACAAAAAAAGCCAATGTCTTATATGTTTGTTTTTCACTCTTACCTTGCCACTGGCATAGTTCAGGATATAAATTCTACCCACCTAAGGTTCCAGCAAGCTAAAAACAATTCCCCAAAATACTAATCATCCATTCATCATCACCAATACAAGGAGGGGTTTATGTGAATGGGGTCTATGGTGGTTTAGTTGGTATCGAGCATGCCATCTTTGGCTTCATGTGATATTTTAGGAAGCATGAACGTGGCTACTGCTATTCCCAGTGTTGAATATTTTCTTTTATAGCTGTCAAGAGGGTTTATTTATCATAAATAGTCTTAGAGGTGGTGCTATAAGATGGCATTTTGTTCCACTTCTGTTTGTAAATATTTTGTGGCTCCCACAGATTTCGTTGCTGAGCAAGGAACTTTCTTAGCTCATTAAAATTTTTTCGGATGGCCATGCCATTTGTGCATTTATATTTACTTTTGCATGTTTTATGGGGATTTATTAGAAGACTATGTAATTGTTCAAAAAACACATTTTAGATTGTTTGTGAAGAGGGAGTTTTTATTCTAAATGACTTTTAATATTATTAACAAGTACTTTATTAACCAACTCTGGGGAGATTTATTTGGAGGTATAAATCACATGCTAAAATGCTATAATATTGTCAATAATATATCTCAATTGTAAGACTGCATTCCAGTTACACTCTATTACAAGCTTGCCCTAGATAATTCACTTTGATCATCTTTCTCTTGCAGGTCATTTGTGCCTTGAAGGTTCTCAGACGGAGTATGTAGAAGGTTGTTTCAAGTTCTTTTGTGAAGGTTTCTTGTTGATTTTGTTTGAACTCATTTCAACTTTGCAAGTGACTTCAACTACTGTGTATCTCTCCTATATTCTAGTTTAGGATTTGCTTGATGTTATAGCACATTATGTTATTCTAGCAGAGTATGCCCTACCAAGAGGAAAAGTTATATTAGCATATATGATCATTGGACCAAAAAACTAGGGGCAGTGCAGGCCTTCAACTGAATTAGTCACCATGTATCGTTCTCAATTTTGGGTGTATGTGCTCTAGTGACATGATGCTGATCCCCTATTGTCCAATGAACAAATCTGATTGAGATGAAAAATGCTGTGGAAATGATTGACCAGTTATTGCCTGGACTAGACCTTGAAGTGATATTTTTGGATGTTTGAGGAGTGGTAGTGAATTTTTTTAGGCGTTTTGTTGTTAGTCTCAGGCTGTCTGCATGCTAGTTAGCCCTGTCTTCAGCTCTCCCTCTAAGTGAATGCCAAGTTAAACTTTTGAGGGCTGCACCTGGAACCAATAACAATTTAGATTGTAATGGGTTTGTTTCTAATCCACTTGTAGTCAACAGGTGCTATAGGTCTTTATTTCATTTTTTTTCAAGTAAATTATTATTTGATCACTGTGTTTTTAATGAAATAATTAGTTAATTTTTTTATTTAAGAAATCCAAATCGAGTCTCTATGTTTTCATATTTGATTGTAACTTAGTTATTGTGTTCTTTTTGTGAAAATCAAATTGTTTTTGTACGAAAAAATATCCTTTGTCTCCTTCATCTGTAATAAAAAAATTATTTTTTCTGAAAAGAATTAACAGTTAATTTTTTTTCAATTGACTAATTTAGTACTCTACAAAATCTTAGAAACAGGGAATAAATTAAAATTTTACTCATATTCCTTTTTTATTTTCAATTGTCTTGCAACCTAATTTAAGCAACTCTGTTTCTTCTGGTCCATTGGCATCATGCTCTATAGGAGTAGTCATTGAGTTTTTCGGTTTCGCTTTTGACGATGGCATCATGCTCTATAGGAGTAGTCATTGAGCTTTTCGCTTTCGCATTTGACGATGGCATCATGCTCTATAGGAGTAGTCATTGAGCTTTTCGCTTTCGCATTTGACGATTTTGATTCGGTTTTAATTATTATGTGCCACTCTAGACCAATAGATACCAGCACCTCTTTTCAATGCATTACATGAAGTTGTACAAGGAAAATTTTGCTTCATTGTTGTTGACTGCCGGAAACCTGATGGTATGACCAAGACCAATAGGCGGAAAGTTACATTTTTAGAGTAGAGAAAGGTCATGGTGAAAAGCAAGACCAATAGATACCAGCATCTCTTTTCAAGGCATTACATGAAGTTGTACACGGAAAATTTTGCTTGATTGTTGTTGACTACCACAAACCTGATGGCTTGACCAAGACCAGTAGGTTGAAACTTACATTTTCAGAGTAGAGAAAGGTCATGGTGAAAAGTAAGGTAGCCTCACAGCATTAGTGCGAACGAAGGTGAATTGGAAGTCCCTTTTCAGGGGTTGGCATCATGTCACCAACTATCTTTTCTTCAGGAAATTTAACCTCCCACTTAAACCTCTTCACTACATTGTGAACAAAAGTCAGAATTGCTAGCCGAGCGTACTCTTTTCCAGGACAGGTTCTAGGTCCACCTCCAAAAGGCACAAACGTGAATGGAGGAGAGAGCTTTCCATCGTCATATCTAGATGGATCAAATTTTTCAGGATCTGGGAAGTACTTTGGATTCTTGTTTGTGGTACTCACGGTCCAGTATACCTACAAAAGTGGTTTAAATCAAAAGTTAGTGAAGTGTCACAAAAAAGTGTGATGTCCAAAGCAACTTTAAATTGACAAAGAATAAAAACTGCGTACTTTCCATCCCTTTGGAACAGTGTAGCCGGCGTAAGTAAAATCGGTTAGGGCTTCTCGGAAAGTTCCTTGGAGTGGAGGTGTCAGCCTCATCACTTCATACATTACGTTCCAGGAGTACTTCATCTTCTGAATGTCATCCCAATCTAGTAGCTCTCCTGCCCCTTTACCTGCCGTAACCTCTATTTGCTCTGGATTTCAGAAAGATGGGCCATTGATAAGCTAAATTATCATATGAAAATCGTCGAAGGATCATCTCATTCCAACTGCTTAAGCATCTAGGAGCTTATATTTAATTATTTAATTTTAATTAAAAAAAAATGAAAGTAGTGAGATTTGAACTCATAATCATTCAAATTCTGATATTATATCAAATGATCATATCAAATATATATTTTACCAAAAAACTTAACCATTAAGTGAGGTATAGAAATAGTTTTATATTATCTTGTAACACATCTTTCAAGCGACAGCCTCTTATTTTTTAAATATGTACAAACTATCACTGTCTTGTGATTAATTATTTAATTTTCATAAAAGAAAATGTGAATAATGAGACATGTAAAATTATTTTTAAAATCACATTGTTAAACTTTTAAATTAAAATGATCGTTTGACGTAATATAATATTAGAGTCTCACTCGTCACAAGTCCAAATCTCATCTTTTAACTTATATTATTGGATTGAGATGTTCCTTTCATAAAAATCACATATATTAGGTACTCAAAATGATCAAAATGGAGAAGATAGAAGAGAGAGATTTCTTTACCAGCTAGGACCTTCTCATAAATGTCAGGCCTCTCTCCAACGTATTTCATAAAGAAAGTCATAGCAGTAGCCACGGTACTATATCCCGCAACTAGTAAACCCATAATCTTGTCAGCAATTTCTGCCTCTGCCATGTGTTTGCCTGAAGAGTCAGTGGCCAAGATCATATGGCACAGTATATCCTGCATCTGTGCTCCTCTGGCCATATCCCCCTTTTCTCATCGATTACTCTTCGTAGGTCCTTGCGGATCGCAGCTGCAGCCTTGTTAGCTCTGTAAAAAGTTGTTCCAGGATAATCCAAAGGAATGGAATGCATCCCTAAGGTTATGTCATCAAAATTGCTGACAAGCCTAGCTATGCGTTCAGGATCATCAGAGCCCAAGAAAAAGCGACAAGCAAGAGACAGAGTCAGTGTCTTAGCAAGAGGAAAGGCCTTGATTTCATCTTTTCCTTCCCAATAAGTTTGCATTTGTTGCTGTGTAATGGAGTCCATTTTCCCCAAGTACCTGACCAAAGCCTCAGGCTTCAAGAACCCAGGCGATCTTAACATTTTAGACTCAGCATCGCGTGGAATTTGTGCTGGAGCAGCAGCTTGATAGGAACGAAAGAGCTTTTGCATCGAATGAGTTCGAAAAGCAGTGAAAAGTTTCTGCTCGTTGGTGAAGAGAAATTTGTGCCCATTAGGGCCACAAACGACAGCAATCTTCTCTCCAAAAATCTTGGTCTTGAAGATATCGGAAGAGTACTTCTTCATCCTGTCAAAAACAAACTTTTCAGGCTTACCGAACAAGAATTCAAGGGTCTCGCCAAAGACCGGCCATCCCAAGCTCCCTGGTGGCAGGTTTTTGGCCCTACTGGAGGAGTTCTTGAAAGCAAAGATGCTAATAGCAAGTGCTAGGACCAACGAAGCCAGAGATAACCATAGAAATGTCACCTCCATTACTGTTTTTGATGCTAAAGAATCAGTCCAATAGCTTTGAGAGAAATTTGTGACGATTTGAGGTTATGCAGGACGGCATGGTGGATTTATATAGGCAAAGATGAGTGGCTGCTGGTCCAAACTTGCACTGTTTGCCTGACACAAAACTAGTAGTCAAATCACCAAGAGATGGGTCGTAAAAGGATTATTCTGCTTGGACTAAAATCAGAATTCCAATTATCCATATTACACATAATTAATCATACTTATTTTTTAATAATATCAAATTTGTATTGATTTGATCTTAAAAAGAATTCAATAGTCGATCAAATGGTTAATATATTCTGTATTCTGATTCTGGTTTAAATAAAAAAACAGTGGATTTATTATTGATTGATGTAAAAAAAAAAAAATCAAAAAAAATAATAGGAAAATTGAAGGAAATGATGATAAGAAAACGAAATCACTATAATGTGAATATGAGTGATAAGAACTTCAAAGTTTCTCTTATTCTCTCTAGGAAGCTTGTACACCAACTAATGAACAATCAAACCTATTTATAGGCTTCAAAATTGAGGAGAGAATTGGAAAGGACTATGAATAATCAATTGTATCGACCTTTCAATTTCTCATATTGAATGATGAATTGAATCATATTAAGAATCATGAGTAGTGGGGATATGAAAAGTGGATAAACATGATGATGGACATTCATTATTTCATAACACTCCCTTGAATGTCCATTGTACAAGGAACATGCCTCGTTAAAACCTTACTAGGAAAAAACCCGAGTGGGAAAAAAAATCCTAATGAAGGAAAAAGAGTACAATATTCCTTGCACATGTTAATCCTTATTTTGGTCTCCCCATGTTGAAGGCATTATTTAAGATCTCTAAGACGACGCATTCTAGTCTTGTGAATCATATTCTTAAAAGTTCGGTAAGTAATGCTTTAACGAATAAATCTACTGGATTGTCATTTTGATGTATTCTTCCTTCAATGGAATTATGCAAGCGGTATTATCCTTATATGATATTGTTGGAACTTCTTTTATTGATAGATAAAATGCATGTGTCTCGGATACAATGAATCGTTGATCTTAGCTAAACACATTCTCGACTTTCCTTGTGAATTGATACTTCGCATGATTTAAAGATGTGGTAGCTATAGTTTGTTTCGTAGAACTCCAAGATATAGTTGCATCTCCATATGTAAATATATAACGAGTTGTGATCGAGCTTTGTGTAGATCGGATAAATAACTCTGCATCCGTATAACCAATTAATCTTGTCTTTGATTTATTGGAGTAATATAAGCCCATATCAATTATTCCTTAAAGATAACATAGTATATATTTAACTTTATTTTAATGTCTCTATATTGAAACGGAACTATGACTTGCTAACAAATTTATAGAAAAGACTATATCGAGTCGAGTATTATTAGCAAGATACATCAATGCACCAGATAGTACTAAAATATGGTACTTCGGGACCAAGTAGTTCTTCGTTATCTTCTCGAGGTAAAAAATGGTCTTTTTGGATATCAAGTGAATGAGCTACCATTGGGCTAGTCAATGAATGATCTTTATATAGAATCATTGTAGAACTTTTTCTATATAAATTGACCGATGAATGAAAATCTCATTCTCCGAGTGCTCGAACTGCAGGTCGAGATAACATTTTGTTTTCCCAAGATATTCATATCAAATTCTCTTTTTAGGTAACTTACGACACTTGGAATCTCTTCGGGAGTTCTAATAATATTTAAGTTATCAACATATAAAACAAACCCCTTTTCAAATAAAATCATATGAATAAATAGGGTTATTTTTTATAACTTTCTTTCAATAAATAATTATTGAAGTGATTATATCACATGCACACGGGTTAGTAATAAACAGTAGATATAAAAATAAAAATAAAAAGTATAATATAAATTGAATTTTTTAAAAACTAAAATAATAAAATAAATACTAATAATCCTAATAGAGATCTCTATAATTTAATTGAATTCTTATCTCGAGAATATGTATTACATGCTTCGGCATGTTAAGTCCTTCTAGGACTTTCATACCGATATCATTTCAAATGAACAAATAAATTATGATTACATTCATTAAATACATGCATATGAATATTTTTCATATATTTTTCCAAGCTAATGAGATAACAAAAGACAATTGCATCCACTATAGGAGAATATGTCTCCTCATAGTCAATGTCAATTCCTTACGAAAACTTTTGTGTTAAAAGTTTTGCTTTATATCTTATAATCTCATCTTTCTTATTTCATTTTCGTATAAATATATATTTGTATCCCACTAGCTTAACATCTTCGGGTGTTTTAGCTATGGGTTCAAAAAACTACTCTTTTATAAGAGAACATAATTCTGCCTAGATTGCTCTTTTCATTTAGGCCAATCATCTTTATGCCGACATTCTTCAATAATTTAAGCTCGGGATCCTTATTTTCATCCATAATATCAATTGCGGTATTATATGAAAAAATCTTATCAATAGATATTTCTTTTCGGTCCTATTTTCTCCCTCCATTAATATAATTTTTCAAAATCTTTTGATTTTTCTCAAGTATTTGGACTTCTTACGGAAGCCTATTATCGAAATATATTGGATCATTTTATGAATATTTTCATCTTGCCTTTTTCTTTTAGGAATTTTTATCTTTAGAACCGATCGGTCTTCCATACTTCGGGCGTGCTTTAAATTCGTTAGCTATAATATTAATAGACTCGTCCTTCTAGGACATCAATTCTAATAGAAGCATTCTCAATGAGGACATGCATTTTATTTACTCTTTTAGGATATGAGAATACATCTAACATTTGGTTTATAATAACTTGTAAACAAATTATCTTGTGAACTTCTTATTCACATTGTTTTGTACCAAATTGATATAAAGATAGAGTACAATATGTAATCTCTTTTTTCTAACATTGTCAATCATTTATTTTTCTTATTCTCTCCCCTAATGTTGAAAAAACTGTTTTATCAAAATGACAAGTCAATAAATCGAGTTGTAAAAATACCTCTTGTTCATGAATCAAGAGATCGAAGAGGATTCAAATCCAATATATATTCTCAATCTTCTTTAAGTACTCATTTTATTTCGTTATGGAGGAGCACTATGGATATATACTATAATGCCAAAAATTCTTAAATAAAAAATATTTGACTCATGACCATAAATCAACTTAGGAGGAGAAAATTTCTTATAACTTATAAGTCATATGCGAATAAGTGCTGCATGTAAGATTGCATGTCCTCAAACATAAACAGAGAGTTTTATTTTTAAATAACGATTTAGCTATCAATTCGAGCCTTTTGATAAATGATTTTGCTAAACCTTTTTGAGTATGAACATGAGCAACAACATGTTCAACCTTTATTTTAATAGCCAATCAATAATAATTTAATGCTTCAAAAATAAATTCATCACCATTATCAAGGTGACTTGTTTTAATGGCATAATTTAAAAATTATGCTCGAAATCAAATTATTTGCTAGCAATCTCGAAAACATCAAGTTTCGAGTAGATAATAAGCATATCTATGACCATCTTGTGGATGCATTTATCAAAATCGTAAAATATTTAAATGGTCCACATGGTGGATGAATTGATCCACATATATCACCTTGAATACATTCTAAAATACCGAAGATTCAATCCTAATTTTACTTGATGATGGCTTAATCATCAACTTGCCTTAACTTGCCTTGGCAATATGCAACACATGAAAGTTCATTAAATTGAAGAATCTTCGGCTCTTCAATAGATATTCATATAATTTTTTTAATAATTTTTTTGCATCATGAAAGACCCAAGATAACACAACTTGGTCATGTCGCATAGTAAAAGTATTTGAATTAGTAAACTTCGGTTTACTACAATATTTGTTTCAATCATTTCAATGTTTGTAATAAATACTAGAAGAGAAAACGGATAAATTTTTTGATAGATATTTTCTACCCGATATAATGATTATAACATATAAGTATTCACATTTGCTATCTTGATATGATATCAAATCGGATGAGTATCTTTGAAACTTAACAAGTTTCTATAAGACTTTGAAGAGAATAGTACATCATTCATAATAAATTTATCCTTTCGGATAATAACATATTTGCTCTTCTAGAGCCTTTAAATTAGTCACTTCAAGTAATAATATATCGACTCTTCTAGAGCCTTTAAACATTTTCTCTTCAAGTAATAATTTATTCACTCTTCTAGAGCTTCAAAAATTTATCTCTTCAAGTCATGATATAATCGCTCTTCTAGAGCTTTCTATTAGGTTGATATTATCATATATAATATTAACATAAAATAAATAATCAAATAAATAAATAAAAAATAAATAAATCAATGTATGCCTCATAAACATAAACAAAAAATTAATTGTAAAATAAATTTATAACCATCAATATACGACATAAATTATAAGAAATATAAAACATTTTATTTATAAATAGAAAAACTAATAAGTAATTAATTTCAATTACTATTATTTTGATATATAAAATTAGCCTCTATATTTTTTTTCCTTTTCAATGAGGTTTGACAAGGCTTGATGAGGTGCTTTGGTGTACGACGTGTACACGACTAATGTCTATTTATACTATATTTATAACATTCATTTTCCGAATGCCGACTTTATCTATTTTCATTCTTTTTTTTTTTCATAGTTATCCACTTCGGTGGTAAGATGTAATATTATGGTCATCGCAATTATAATGATAATTATTTTGACAACATCCATGCCCATGACTACATCTTCGTCTATGCCTAAAGTTATATAAATTATCACATTCACTTCGGGGAATGGAATAGATCTAATTGGACGAGATTTATTCTTTTCATCAATAGCTTTTCATTTTATTTAGCCATGAGCAAATATGAAATCGATTCGGAATATTTCTTAAACTCTTTTTCTTGATATGCTACTGCAGGAGCATATTCGAAGCATGAAAAATAGATGATATTAACTTAAAATCAAGCAC